CACACACACACACACACACACACACACACACACACACACACACACACACACACACACACACACATACATTCTCCTGTCTATTGATGGAGAGCGCCACCTGCTGGAAACTGGGTCCAGCGTCCCATGAACATTGTGAATAAAGCACCAACCGGCACCCCCCCGACACACACACTCTTCGAGTTGTGTATAGCGAACATGCCAGCATAATCACTACCTTGTCACGAACCACTTTCTGTGCCACGCGATTTTCTGCGCGATGACAATGAGAGGTCCTGTGACGGGGATGGATAGGCAGATTCCGGGAGGTGGGATCGGCGGGTAAATTGCATCGGTGTCCTCGCTTCTTTTAGTTTCGCTTCGCTTCTTTTCTTTCGGTGGTGATGAACCAGGGCCGGAAGTCCCCAGACGGACGGTTGGGCACGCGCGCCACGTCAGGCGCGATTAATAACGGTCGACATAGCTTCTTTCTTGTTCTGCTGTGAGCGGGAGGGAACGAGAATTTTGGCGCGATGATCACACGGGAGCTTCTTTTTTTTTTCCCCTCCTTTGTTTAATTTCCTTCCAACTGATGTCGAGCCCCTGAAGGCTCTCGGAATTGCGGATTTCCTTTTTGTTTCTCAGAATTTTTGTCTCGTCGATTTCGAATTTAGATAGGAATTTAGGAATTTCGATTTCTTCTTGCCGCGCGGTGCTTCTTGCTTGCGCGTACCTTCCTGCGGCGGGAACGAGGTCCGGACTAAGCGGCGCCCTTAATCTTGCGTGTAACTGTAATTTTTGGTGGGCGCCATTGTAACTGTATCTTTCTTCTTCCCTCGCCTCCTTTCCCACCCCCTTCGTCCTTTTTTTCGATGATCTGATTGGCATGAGCTCTGCATGCTCAGATCGATGCGTGGAGAGTGGCTACGTCCCCCACGCCGCGATCTGGCCATGCAACTCGTAGGCACTTCCTTCAGGTTTTCCTTCAATTTTGCAGACTCCCAAGCCCCCTGATGTTTGAAGTTTTTGCTCGCATCAGGCCGCATATCTAGCGGTCGCCCACGAACTTCAGATTGCCAATACCCGTCGGACAAAAGTTTGCATGCGCTCTGATGAGATGGGCTACTGGTGGTTACTACAGGCAGTCCTCCCACAGTTGGGGCATCGACCTCACAAGTGGCCGACGCGATCATCCGGGATTACGACCATCTCCTACGGTTCCCTACAGGGCAACGGTTGAGGACGTGCAAAATGACTTCGAGAGAAAGGGTTCCCTGAGTGTGTGGGCTCGATAGATTGCACGCATTTGTATATTGAGAAGTTGAAGAGCGAGCGATTGGAGTGTTATTACCACCACACTGGGGGCTACTCAGTTGTTGCACAAGTCGTGTGCGCCCACAAGTGTCCGATTGTGAGTGTTTTTGTGGGTTGTCCGTGGTCTGTGCATGATTCGAGAGCTCTACGTATCTCGCCACTGTTCGTAAATGCTACAGAGGGTAGAGGAGTGTTGACTGAGGGAGGTGCCGTGCTGCACAACGGTAGACATGTTGGCCGCTATTTGCTGGGTGATCAAGGGTACCCTCTTCTTTCATGGCTCATGACTCCTTTTGGCCGGTTGTTGTGACGCTGACGGATCGAGCGTTCGATTTGAGCCAAAGTGCAGCGAGGTCGTGCATTGAGCGGGTTTGTGGTCGTCTTGCAACCTGAAGACCGTCTTCAAAGAATCCATGGCCGTTTGCATTCTTCACAACCTCATGATCGAGCACAACGTGCATATTGACCCGACGTTGATGGAAGATAGCAGTGATAGCAATGCAGACGACGACCAACGCGGCTCTCGTTGGCGACGCTGGCGTCGACGTCGATTCAATTGCCATCTTTCGGACTTGAACATCGAGGTGCCGGTGGAGGATGACCCCACTTATGGGGGGGAACTCGCGCACCACGTCAGGGTTAGCCTGGTGGAGCACGTGCGCCACCACGTGGCAGTCCACGGGGCTCCTCCGCCATGCCCATGGCGGTAGTGCTTTTTTTTCGATTGTCTGTGGTTGTATGGGACAACCCCTTTTGGGACGGCTGAGGTCTCAGAGAAGACGTTAAGGCAAATGAAGGTCAATTGCAGGACAGGGGTATAGCCGAAGAAATTCAGTGTCGATATTTTCAATCGTTAGTAGATCGTGTTGGGTTGAGCAGAGCGTCATCTTTCATTACACCGACCGGATGGTTGGGTTACAAAAGTGCGGTTTTGTAGCAATGTACAAACATTTATTCGTTCATGTACTTAAGGAAAGTTTAAATCGAGTTATCTTTTGTTCGTTGTTAGAGAATGCATACTAGTGTTTTTTTTTCGTTCGTCTGTTTACTGTCCCACACTCTGCGAAGCACCTTGAGGTAAACATTTTTTAACCATCCCAGTTCCCCACCGAAACATGTTCACGTACAACGACCCAACAAATAATTACACCTAATACAGGCAATGAATGTAGCGAAGTGTGAGATGGAGAGACGAGACGTATACATTTCGAGGGGCCTACGCATTTAAAACCATTAACACGCAAATTATTGAACAACAAACTCACTTCGAATAATGAATGATTGACGTAATGAAGTTGCATTCTACATCCCCCCGACCCTGTCTGAGTGGCACATCCATTTCATGTGCTCGAACAGTTCAGTTGATGAATTTGGGTTTGATAAACGATATCTGAACACATTGCATGTCCACATACTACGCAGAATCCATCGTCAATAACATCACACCCACAATTTGACAAAATGTGGACCAAAAAAAAAAAGAAAAAAAAAGGGAGGCGATAAACCTGAGAAACGAAGATAGAAAAAAATCAAGAAAAAAATTACCAAACAACGTGCGTCAGTCTCAAAGAAGCACAAAAGAAATCCGTACAAATGGATGACTCGATTTGAACATGGAATCACTACAGACTTTGACGATAGCACAAAAATACATCTGTTGCAAAACTCGAAGAACGTCCGGATGATTCATCACTTCCTCCATTGGAAGTATTAAATCATCATCGTTATCATCATCATCATCATCATCATCATCATCATCATCATCATCGTCATCATCGTCATCCTCGTCATCCTCGTCATCGTCGTCATCCTCATCGTCGTCATCGTCGTCATCGTCGTCGTCGTCGTCGTCGTCGTCGTCGTCGTCGTCGTCGTCGTCGTCGTCGTCGTCGTCGTCGTCATCATC